AACGTGTACCTTACTAAGTTGTGATAACCCATCCCTTAATTTTGGAATAATTAAAACATGAACGGGAGCTTGTGGATTGATATCCCGGAAAGCAAGAACTTTCTCATCCTCATATACAATGGTCGAAGGTATCTCCTTAGCAATTATTTTATCAAATCTGAAGAGAGAGTATACTAATAATAATAACAAAAAAATTTGGGGTAAAAGATTATGATGCAGTTAGAGTTTATATGCAACTCTCTTTTACCACAAAGTTCAGAGTGAAGTACCAACACCTATCAAATGAATCAATAATGGGCTATTTCAGTGGATGGCCTTGGAGGGCTTAGCACCTTAGCCTATAATAATATGTTGATATATATATATATATATATATATATATATATATATATATATAGGTTAAAATAAGAATGAAATCTAATGAAAGAAATAAGAATAAATCTAAACCGTTAGATCTAATAAGTCTTTGAGATCCTATCCATTTTCTTATAGGGTTATATTTGGGATTTAAAAAACAATATATTCTCTCTCTCTCTCAAGTCTCGATCAGATGAAGACCCGAAATCAGCTTCCGTTCTCCCCAATATATGGTATCCTTTTTCGTCTTCCAGTGACGGAACAGCCGGAACTGATAGGCAAGCTACGGCGCTCTGACTTCTCTCCATCCGCCATATCAGCGGTGTGATCTCCCTCCGATTGAATTTCACTGAGACCTCAGATTTCAATCCGAAATGCTCCGTAATTCCATCAGTGCCAAATTCATAGTTGCAAAGATGACACTGGAATCACTGGTCCAGAATTTATATTTGCCTGCTACATGGGCTTTTGTGTGATTTAATTTGGAAAAGCATTGTAAGGCACTATGTGTTTGTTCACTTTGTTGATATCACATTCAATCGAGAAATTTAGTTTCGAAAAATTGCCACTCTCAATTATATAAATCTTTGTATGGTGCTCTCAAATTATAGGATTGACAATTTTAGTATCGAGATCCATTTTGGAGACACGTAGTGCATCTTTTCATGTGCATATTGCATTTTAAAATGGTTTGATGATATATTTACCATGTTGCATTTCTTATTTTTTTGTAAAAATAACAGTATGAAAAATTAATGTATATTTTCCATGCATTTTGCATTTTGGATTGGATTCATGACGTATGTACCCATTTTCACTTCTTATTTTTTTTTGTATTATCAGTCTAGAAGCATAGTGCATCTTTCAATGCACATATTACATTTTTGTACTGATTTGTGATATATGTACCAATATCCATTTATTATATTTGGTAAAAATGACAGTCTAAAACTTAGTGCATCCTTTCATGCACATTTTACATTTTGTGTTGGGCTCATGATGTATGTACCCATTTTCATTTTTTTTGTAAAATCTGTCTGGAGGCATAGTGCATGTTTCAGTGCACGTATTACATTTTTGTACTGGCTGGTGATATATGTACCAAGATCCATTTATTATATTTGGTAAAACATCGGGGTTCAAGTGACACCGGAGTACGGTGACACTCCGGTGCCACTGTCATTTTGAGCACTTTTGGTGCTCCATTCTAAAAATTGACGGTTCCTACCCCCAACTCACCCCTAAAGTTCCCACCGTACTCCAATCCCGTCGTAAGTCTCCCACTAAATGTGTGGCTATTGTGGATTGCATAATAATCACACATTTTGTGGGAGGCTTACGACGGTGTAGGGTGGGGGTGTGAATGGATTTTTGGATGCATTTTTGAGGGATTGAATTTTGTATGTAAGTCTATAGTAATCCAGTTCATGATGCACTATAAATTTAAAAATGCAAGGCTTTGAAAGCAATTTTATTATATTAATGCATTTTGAGTGCTTTGATATGACACAATCATAGTCTAAGATGCACTATGACTATTTTTAGAGAGGTTATGTATGTGATCATGTGCTTCATTGTTTCTTTATTGATTATGTTTATTACTTTCTCCGTCCTAAAACTTTCTTCCCAGAGCACTATTCCAACTTCACGTGAATTTATATTTATTTGTGTTTTTTCATGGCCTATATGATAAAATAAAATATTCTTGTCACCACTTGTTTTGTTGAACTTTTGATGTAGTTTTTAAATATGTATGTTTTATCTTTTATTTCTATACCAATATTTAAATAAAATAGATTGAAAAAACTTGGGATTTTTCTTCGTTTTGCGTAACGGGAAGAAAGATATAGGACGGAGGGAGTAATATGGTATTTATTATTGCACACTCTGTACGAGATGCTAATGTAACATGTAGTTAGAACTTCTACACGTGAATATGAAATATATGTAGACATATGCTTTTAGTTTTTCAAAGTGTGCACTTGGGTTGTTGAAATGTGAACTCTTCCAATCTACCCTTCATCATAGTTTTGACAAAGCTACAAGTTATATGAGAATGCTCACATTATGAAAACCTAAGTTCATATATTTTTATGCCTATACCATGTGGATTTTTTGCCATTATTAAGCATGTGCTCGTTGATGCAACTGGAAATCATATTATAAATGTTTACACTTGTGTAGAGGGACCTGATATACTATTGGAATCCATTATACAATTTTATATATTTTATTTTTGCACAATATTACATTTTCTATCTAGATGGTAGTGCATCTTGCAAATACTACATTGCCTTATTAGTCTTTTTGTGCAGGATCAATTTTACAGTTTTCAAGGACTTAAAGATTCCATATTGAAGCAGAAAGTCAAAAGTCATAAACGAAAAGAAGAAACTTCCTCAAGAAACATATCAAAATTTACCTTTCTAGTACAGCCAATGAATGGACATATTATTGTGTGGTGTGCTTTATATTTTGATTACTTTCCAGTGATACAAATTTTGAATATTATTAAGAAACAAGATGAATGGTACAAATTTTGAAAGGATGTATGTTCACATTCTCTGTTTTCATGCATCATTAGATTAAAAGTAGTGCATTTTAAACTCGAATGCAATGCATTCTCAAAATCAAAATAAATTATAATGCATTTTATTACTTTGCATTCTCAGAATCAAAGTTGTTGATTCGATCTAATGGTGAAATACTTCTTGACAAAAATATGATATATTTCTATATTCTTTTATAATTAAAAATCTGTAAACGATGATGCATTTAAAATGTCCAGGGATACATTTTGAATCTTATTAAGAAATACGATGAATGTATCAATAGTCACAGTGCATATATCAACAGTCACATGTTCTCTCATAACATACAAAATCACACATAAGTCATTATTAGCCAATCAAAGAATTGATAGAATAACATTCGAATAAAATCTAAAATACAAATCACAGTGCATATATCAATAGTCACAGTGCCAATATTGGTAATCACAATGCATCTCTGAGATGAATTTGGAAAAGTGAGATATTGAAAATTATTTCTTAAATTACATGCATTTTTAACTATATACTCCCTCCGTCCACAAATAAACTTTACGTTGCGTGTTACGATGTTTGACTGAAGTTATTTTTAAATCATTTTATATAAAAAATGGTGTAAAATTTTAAAATAAAAATCACATATTAAAAAACTATATCAAAAGATCTACAAAAACTAGAGATGACATGACTATATTATTTTATCAAATGGGTAACGAAAATAGACTAACAAAGTGAATAAAGTTTGACCTTGTGAATAGTGAACGTAAATTTTATTTGTGGACGGAGGGAGTACTTCAAAATAATCTTGGAAGCTTGCTATTTTATTCGTGCAATGAGTGGAGTAGTGATTGGCGGACTTTTAGGCATAACCCATTAGCTACTTTAATGCATTATTGTTTTTACAAATTTGGCCCTGGATATTAATTGTCCCCTATTTTAGTGCGCATGAGTTGTTCTTTACCATAAAGAACACGGAAGTTGAAGATCCAGGCCTATAAAATCTTAGTCGTTCGATGCATTGGATCCATTGGTCAAAGTCTATTCTTATTTCTTTCACCAAGAGTTATTCTCACTTGAACCACCCCCAAACATATATATATATATATATATATATATATATATATATATAAATGGTTTTAGAGAGAAGGCAGAGAATTCCGGCGTCCTGGCCGGAAAAGTCTCAGGCCACGGAAAATTTTCAATCCACATTACAAAAACCATCTGTTTCTAAACGTCCACACTTCACAAAATACTTTTCAGATCTTTTTGCAGCATCAAACTCTTCAAAGGTTGGGAAAGTTGAAGGATTCTACAAAGGAGCACCATCTGTGAGCTTCTCCAGCGGTGATGAAGAAACACTGGAGGCCAAAATGCACTTTTCTGCAGTTGGGAGATTCAAAGGATACATTCCCCTCTCAATGCTAAAATATTTCTTGCTTAAAGTGGGCTTCCTGTACTTCAGGATTAGGAGAATCTCAGAAAGAGATATTCTCTTTACCTTCAAAGAAGAAAAGGACTATATAAGACTTATTCAAAGGAGATACTGGTATGTTGATAAATACCATTTCTATGTTTTTAAATGGACAAGAAACTACAAATGTTCTACAGACTGCCCTATTTTTCCTGTCTGGGTTACTTTGCATGGGTTGCCCCTTCATCTTATAGATTATCAAGCCCTTTTCTCTATTGCCAGTCTTCTTGGGAAACCAATTATGTTGGATGATTATACTGTTAATAGAGATAGAAGAGAGAATGCAAGACTTTGTGTTAAAATGGATACTTCTCTCCCTCCCCCACCTATGGTGCACATTAGACTGGGGCTAATGACCTTTTCCTTAAATGCTCATATGAAAAATTCCCTCCCTATTGTTCTACCTGTCTGAAATTTGGTCACAAATCTGGAACCTCCTGTGCCTTTTTCACCGGAAAAGCTCCCTCCGGCGAGGGCAATAAGGGCAGTTTCGAAAGTATCAATGTACCTGCAGATTCTTGGATAAAAGTTACAAGGAAGAAGTCAAAACCTGTTCAGCAAGAGAAGGCTCCACCCTCTGTCAAGGGCCCTGGTCCTATTTTATTTAAATGGAGGGCCAAAAATAGCCTCAATAATAGGTTTTCCCCAAACCTATTAGACATTTTTGACAGCCAAGATTTAAACAAGGACCCACCCAACCCCCCTTCTGATTTTGCCTCACCCCTCCTGCAAATATCACTCCCCTCCAACTTGCAGGATTCCATTTTGGAAAAGCA